GTAAGTTCATGTGTTGAAATTCTGAAAGCTTGAAAAATCGTAATTAATTTATAAATTGGTTCAAATTTTCTTTTCAAAGGAGATTGAAAAGAAAAAAAAATCTTTGCTTTATGGTCAGAAATCAGCTGAAAAATATATCAATTGCCTAGAAATTTCGAGACCTTTTTTTATTAACTATTAATTAATAAACATCTCGAGCAATTACAAAACATTATTTCATTTTCATTTATCTAAACTTGGTGGCTTAGCAAAGGAATAAAATTAGGTATTGCTCTCTTGAATTTGTTTAAGGTTATTTTAAATTACTCATTTACAACAGCGACTTTTCTGGGCTGTTTTTTGGCACTTCCGCCAAATATATAAAGCACCCCCCACCCAAATTTATGATCTGCTCTTTTCGAAATTTTGTCTATCCCCTATTTTGAGCACCAGGAAACTCATTTGAGTAAATATGTAAAAAAAAAGAAGAAAAAAAACAACGTTTATGTTTATTCAGAGAAGGTACATTTTTGTGTCATATTTCGTAACTTAATTAATAGTTAGCACTAATTAATTAACTTTTTTAAAGTCACCCCCAGGAACCATTAAAATGGGCCCTTTAGTATGTGAAAATACAATCATTAGAAAGAAAGTTATTCAGGAGGATATCTTTTTTATTTTCTCACTGTACACCAATTTATAAAGGATCACTAACAAAAAGCTCTTGAAAGGAAAAGAAATATTCAAAATTCATTAAAATCATTAAAAAAAAAGTAGAAAATAAAGAACTCTAAAAAGTGAAAAATAATAAGAAAAAGATGCATTTATCATCAACATTCTAGCTCTGGATATGTATTATATTTACTCTCCAACTTCTTAACAACAGCTTGGAATGATAAAATTTTAAAAATGGAAGTTTAATTTGATCCACTTCTCCTCAAATCCAAAACTCACTATTAAAAAATATTTCTTAGTTATTGAGAGTTAATTACAAGGTTTTTATTAATAATCGGGGGGAAAAAATCTTTCTTGAATAAAATGAGTTACTATTTAACTAATTTCGAATACTTATCTGTGAATCATTCTTAGCGCGTCACAAATCTGAATGCTACGTATGAACAATTGTTTCTATACTTTTATCTTTCGCATTATTCTCGATCAATTTACGAAGCATTTAAATTAAGAGTTATTTCACACTTTACGGCGTTTCTACTAAATTTTCGGCATTTTACGATTTTAATCACTGTAAATTTTCTACCATCAGTTTTAATTGATTTGTGTGTTTTTAATAAAAGTTGGTGCGGAGTGCCAATGTATTTTTGAAATATAAGGACTTAATAAAATTATTTTAAGAAGTCGGAATCGATTTTAAAAATTGTAAAAAAAGAAGTGTTTCATAACAAGTGCTGAAATGTTATGATAATTAGCGACGCAATAAATGAATTTTTTAAAGTTAGCGACTCTAAGAATTCGCTTAGATTTTAACATATTTTTAGTTTTACTACTGAATTACAGCATTGTTGAATGCATCAAAGTATAAAGTTATTGAATACCTGATAGAAACTACTGAAATCGTGAAACTTTTTTTTATCAAAAAGGTAAATATTAAAAATTTATCTAAGCTATTATTTAATGGCTGATGTATAATAAACAGCCCAAAAATTTTATATTTTGTCTTTTATTATTTCCAGATATTGCTGAAAAACCCGTTTAATTTTTTTTAAGTAATTAACTCAGCCCTGGTTTGCTTTTTTACTTGTTCTTTTCTTGGTTAAATAAATTTTTTTAAAGCACTGGAAGAATTTTAATTATTTAATTTTTTCATTTAATATTGTTAATGCTTTAATGTATGGAATATTAAAAATGCATTAAAGAAACTTAAATATGTAATATCTGATTCTGCCTGATATCAATACTATCTTTTAAAATTTGAATTCTTTCAGCAACATAGTTGTAATTAATAAACTTGTTTGCTTCTAATTTGCATTCATTTTAGAATTTTTTCGTAATTTAATTGTTTTATATGCATTTTACTCTTTTCAGTACCTATAGACTTAAATTCGCTAAGTTAAATTAAACGATTAAGGATTTCCTAATTTCCGTATTTAGCTGACTTTTATTTTTGAATGGCATTCTAGTGTTACTTTATATTAAGGTGACCAAACGTCCTAAAGTCTTAAGTACAGTTTTCGAATTTCATTGATTGCTAAGAATTTGAAAGTTTTTGTCCCCCAAAACTTTCAAACTGTATCAAAACATGAATTTCTCGTGTTTCTATACAGTTTGAATCCTCGAATAAGCATTGATGAGTTAAAAGTAAAAGTTTCAAACTTTTTGAGATCAGAAAATGTCGCTTAATTTTAAGATGTCTTCAAATATTCTGGAATTTCTCCGTAAACATGTATTTTTTTATGAAATGTGAAATAACATGAAAATCAAAAATGCGCATCATCTCTTTTTTTTCCTTTCTTTTTCGTAAGCGCGATAGTTTGTCTTATAAAGAATAAAAACGCAAAGCAAAAAAAATAAAATAAAAATGGCACCACGCTTAAACTAACAGGTGAAAACGCCATACTTATCTTCAAATTATCATGTATTTATTCATTTTTCGTGATTTCAAATGCAGATTATTATATGATATTTAAAAATTGCTTCGCATTGAAATCAAATGTGATAAAAATGGTGATGCGCTCGATATTAATTAGCAATTTAAAAAGAAAAAAAAATCTTTGTGTGCACGTGTAAATTAATATTTTCCAATTGATGTTCTCATATCGTAAAATTTTTGCATGGACGCACCCCAAATCATGGTTTATAAATCTGGTCACCTCATACTACAATTACATTATATTAATCAAACTTGCACTTTTAAGAAAGCTTGTTTTATAAGGGTATCTTTAAAGTGTGTACAATAATTAATGTTCTGTAGAATTAAAATACCCTATAATTTTATTATTATTTAGAGATTGACAAATGGGGGAAATTTAATATTTAAGACCATACATACATGATGAAGAAAATACACAAGTACCAATTTTCTATGATATTTTTTTTCATCGAGTTACTACTTTACTTTTTTCTGCTTTATATACATGAATTTACTGAAATGAGACGCTCTTTAATAATCGACAGTATTTTATTTTTCAGACATTTCTTTTCGATTTTGAGTTGAGTTTCATCAACACCCTGTTAATTATTCATTTCATACCCGTCTAAATTAGCTAACGTGTATGGAAAAAAAGTGACCCTTAAACGTGCAGGATGTTGCGGCGAGTTGAATTACCTTTCAAAACAAAGCTTCGTATTGTTTTCGTCTGCTTCCGACATGCAGGTCTTTTTCAACTATGTGTGAGGAATTAAATCTGCCAATTTGATGAAAGGATGAGTTCAGAATTCATTTTTTTTCCTCATAAATATTATTTTGTTTAGTATTTTCTTAATTTTTTCGATGATAAAATTCTTAAAAGCAACTCGGAACTATTAGAATTAGATTTTTGTCGTTTGTCGGTATTGGGTTTATTATTCTTTTTTTTAATTACTTATATACTGTGTATAAAAAAAGTTCAGTTATTCCATTCGAAAGTCCATTCAGTCAGCTAACTTTAAGTATGCAGTTTTCGTTTACCATTAGCCGAGATAGTGAATCTAATGCTTATTTTAGCTCTTGTTTGTTAAGTTATATCTATATTTAAGTCAATGAAATGGATTCGTAAGATCATCTCAAGTTGAAAATACGTCTTTATCTTTTATTTCGCTATTAAATAAAGTGTCTTTAATTCAAATTATCTTAGATGAGGAAAAAAATACATTGAAGTTATTATTAGAGAGATTTCGCAAATTTGCGTTTGCATCCGTGCGCTCCCGTGAGTAAAATTTCAATATGTCGATTCTGGTGAGATGCGCATGCACCCGTGAAAAAATGCCAAACTTACGTAAGTGAAAATAAGAGATTCTTCTAATTCGCGTTCCATATTCTTATGTTTTTAGTTTGAAGGCAGGTTTAAACAGAAAATAACATTTAACATCTTTAAACAATGTGCTTGTAGCTTTGCCTTTGTAACGTAAATTACGCTAACGTAACGTAAAAATACGTAACTACGGAAGCTAACGTAAAAGTGCGAAATCTCCCTATTATCTAATTTTCTGACGAAACGAATCCTTTATGCATTGATTCAAAAGCAGTAATCCTCATTAATTTTAAAATATTTGAACAAATTCAAAATACAAACACAACTAACATAGAAACTAAAAAAAAAAGTTATTTGTTTACAAATAAGCGGAAAAATCATATGAAAAAGTTATTGAACAGAAAAGCAACGTTGCCGTGCTTGTTTAAAAATGCTCAATATAGGATGAGATTGAACAAATTTGATGGCATAAGAGCCGGATTCTGCTGTACTGCTCCAAGCTTAAATATTAATACTAAGAAAAACTGCCGCATTTCTGTATCTTAAAAGCAACATCAGTTGTGAAAATGCTCAAACTTTTCTGTTTTGCATATATGCTTTTGGCGTATTAAATTTGTAGTTTTTTTTTTCATAACTATGTAAGAATTTTTCAATAATATTTTATAAATGAAAATATTTTCTAAATCTATCTATCCTGCAAAATGTGTTCATATGGAATTAGCCACCATCTCATTAGTTATGATTTTTATTTAAATTTCTAAATGCGTTCTAAAAGCATGCAACAGCTGTATTTCGGAATATGAACGCAAAATCGTGTAAATAAAATATTATCTATGTATTAAGATATTTAGGATCATGATTCCAGCTTTCAGCAACTGAAAACTCCTGTTCTGAATTTTGAATTTGTTTGCAATCGCTATTTGAAAGCTAATAAATAAAAGGATGTTATCTGAACCCTTTATCTCCTTTTTGATAGCTTGTATTTTTATCAACATTTCACGGTCACCAATGAGAAAACAAATATAAAAATATACGTTATATGTTAAAACCTTCGATTTCAAAGCAAAATCAAGGTGTCACTCACATTATTCTTATTTTTGTTTTCGATCGCTGTGTTGACTCAATTGAAATAATTTTGTTTTTTTTAATTATCAGAGATTTTAACTGAAAACTCCGGTTTCAGGCGGGCGTCACAGATTTGTTTTGGCCTTGCTGGCAATAGTTAACCCAACTGATAATATCGAGTGAAAACTTTAAAAATTAATCACCTTAATTACTTAACTCTCATCTTCAGTTAATTAATTTTAAATACTTTCTTTTAGAAAGGCAGTTAATTTATCATGCATAGTATAGCGTTAGACCATAACCACCCATAAATAAGGCCGTTGAGATCACCAAGTTCTTTTAGTGACGTCACATACAGTGGTGTACTGATGTATGCTGATAAGCGATTAGCGGCCAGTTTCAAATATTTGTCATTCGTTGCACAACAGTCCCGTTTGTCCGTCGGATATGTCGTTATAATCCATCTATATCAAAAATATAAATAACATTATCTTACAAATTTTAACAATACCATATGCATGCGTAGTTCCAAAATATAAAGGGAACTACAAAAATGGGCCTGAAGTATCAATTTTTAAATTTCCGAAAAGTGAGGAAATAAAACGGAATTGGATTATTACATTAAACGAAACAGTTATCAACTAACTGTTAATGGTCGAGTAAGTGTTATTTATCTTTTATGTTTTACTATTCGTTTTCGCAGACTTTATATTATTGTAAAGAAAATTCATTATGTAGTTAAAAAGCTTATGCTTTTTAATTATATAATGTAATAAGTTGTATTTAAGAATTATAATGTTTTAGGTATTGTTTATTGTTAGCTATAATACTAGAAAATAAAACTAGCAACAAGAGCATTCGTACTTTTGCAAAACTTTTAGACGTGAAATAAAACAAATTTAAACACCATTTGTCTTATTTAAATGTCCNTAAATATATATATAAACAAATATCAGATGTCATTAAAGAGTTAAAATTTTTATTGTTTAAAAACTAGTGTAAAAAGCTTTAGTTACATTTTTAAAAGAAAGAAAAATCAATAACAATGTTGATTGGCGCTTGAAGTTTATTTATTCTTAACGATGATAGCTTATGAATAAATTTTGAATTTGCTCCAGATTAAATGTGCTATTCTTAATTTATTCTCATTTTTTATGTTTATCTGGCAGAGTTTATGTAAGCAAGCTTTAAAACAATAATATATAAGTTTAAACGTATGTATGCACATTCATTCAAATGTATCTTATATGAAATATATTAATTAATGAGATATATCTTATTGAGTAACAGGAAAAATGATTTTAATATAAGCTTTTATATTTTTTCTATCTTAATTGTTTTTTTTTTTAAAGTATTACGATTTAACAAAAGCTTGCAGACAATTTCAAATGCAATTCATAAAAAATATTCAATATTTTCTTTCTTTTTTTTACAGTGCGTAATTTTTTTTAATTATTGAACAATTTCTGCTCCAGAATATTATACTAATAATTTTCTAAAGGAATCTCTATTTTGGAATTCTATTCTCTATTTTTTTTTAACAAATCTATAAGAAAGACTGTCATCAAAAAATTTATATGATAGAAATACTTTACTTTTTTATAATAATCAACAAAAAATAAAAAAGGTATATTTATTTTTGAAAATAATAAATGCTATTTTAAAGTTTTACAATCTTAAGGATCGAAATATTTTGTTAATTACTTATAATTTATTTATTAGTATTACTTTATAATCATTACTGAGCTAAATTATTTTGTCTCATTTTAATATTATATCGTTGTTTATTTGTAAATAATTGCACTGTTTATATTTAGATTATTTCCACTTGGAATTTTAATGTATATGATACGATTCTGAAAGAATTCTTTAGAACTTATTTTAAGAATAAAAATTTTATGAATAAACTAATAAAATTATAATTTCTTAGTCTCTTTTCTGCCATGTTATAACATATTTTCATTTGTCTCGTATATGTTTCCTTTTTAAAATGTATCATTTCTTATTTTTATCAAATAGTCCTATGTTTATTTTATTAAGTTCTAACGTGACGAATAACATTGATTTATTCCAATAGAAAGCTAAAAATTCAACCTTAAAAATATTCAAGTGCTGTTAAATTTGCTAAAGCAAAAATATTTTACTTCGCTCAAAAGTTTAAACTATTTATTATACTTTTCTTTTAATGCAAATCGGAATACCGCTTTATCTTATGGTTCGCTAACACTTCCGAGGATCAGGGCCGGATTACCCATTGGGCCAGACTAGGCCATGGCCTGGGGCCCCCAATGATTAGGGCCATTGGATTTAATGGATTTTTTGAAAATAAATTAAGTAAAACAATGATTTTTTCAAAATGTTATGATTATTTTTTAGTTCTAATTTAATAAAATAAAGTAAAAGTAAAATTTAATTTATTATTTATTTTAATTTTAAATATGCTTTCTTAAATGAAATGATATATTAATACTTTTATATTTGAATAAATAAAAAAAAAACGCGAAAAATATTTAATCTATAGGCCCCAAAAATTTGAATGGCCAAGGGCCCCGCGTACGCTTAATCCGCCCCTACCGAGGATGACGTCACAAACCTACTGAGGGGCCTTGACTCTCGGTTAGACATGCTTGCCCTAATTACTGTATAATGCTTGTTAGTATTGCTTTTTATAACTTGCGAACCTATCTAGTGTAACCTGATTTTACCGCATACCCTAAACATCACCAACCATTGCTAAGCACCTAACACTTTTTTCTTTTAGCAAGGTCCCAAACTTCTGCACTACAACCTACAAGAGGCCTTTCAGTCGCGTCAGATTTAGCGTAAACCTTGCTGCATATCCCAGGGCTCGAAAAAACTCAAAAATTTTACCTGTCCCCGAGGACGGCTTGTCCAACAATGTACCCGTCCTCCTTTGAAACTAACCCGTCGTTTCTAAATAAATAAAAATATAATTTTCTCTTATTTATTACAAACATTTATATAAATTGCACAATGAATTAGTAGTTACTAGGATTACAAATGTGAGGTAATAAATTTGAAATAATTTTAATTGTTTTGTTTAATAATCGAAAATCAACGTTGATCCCAGTGTAATAATTTCTAACTNCAATCAAGCTAATGATTTACAGAGGTTTCTGCACAAAAATCTGAAAGGGGTTTTCCATTTAGGTAGATGTTCATAATTGCGTTTAACGCTTCTTGTTTAAGACCAGTACGTAATGCTTATTTTTTGTAAGTTCATTGCTGAAAAGTCCCTTTCAACCGCTGCAGTACGGGAGACAGAGAAAACATCAATTCCACCATGCGCAGTATGTTGCTGTATTTCTAGATTAGAGTCATTTTAGGAGTGAGGCGCTAGACTCTTGTAAGATAATAAAAAGTGAAAATGTATCACCAACATTAACGGGAAAATGGCCGTCCGCGCGGACGTCGGATTCGAGAAATTCGTTGTCCGCAAGGAATTTTTGACCGCCGAGGACGGATGGTTTTTCGAGCCCTGGCATATCCTGGCATTGGAATAACTCCATTAAACTAAAATTTCTATATTCAGAGGCAGGATTTTAAAAAAAAGTTTGAAGTGAGAAACTTTTTTCTATTTTAACATTTAGCAAATTCAGTAAAATTTTTATTCGTCTCTTAATGATTGAAATGAAAAATTCAATTATCTCTGATTAGTTAAATATTATGAATGTAGGGTCCATATGGTACTTTTGACAAAAATGTTTACCTTCAATACTTATTAAATTTACTTTTCAAAATTATTGAAATTTTTTTTAATCGTTTCATTAAAGAAATACTGAATCATGTAACAAATTTTACTTGGGGCCATTGACTAATTTGCATTAATTGAATTTAGGAAGTTTTCTTAATTTACTCATTTCTTTTTCTCTCAATATGATCAAAAATATTAATCTTGTTAATATTTTGTTTTGAATACGATTTTATAAATAGTTTTTATTTAAATCCACAAAAATACACCCGATAACTTCTTTTAAATTATAATTTAACTAATCAACAACTCATTATTGAATGTGTTTAAAATTCTACGTAAATTGTTTTTCTGGTGGTTAATAATAACAAGAAAAAAAGTTCTTTATCAGAAACTAGTTATTTTATCTTGATCATCTGATCATGATCATTTCGGAACCCACATGTCCTTGCTAATCTAGACAAATAAGTTAGCTAAGGTAGATTACCATGTTTAATGAAATCTAACATTTGGTATTTTGTTAAAAATTAAATTAAATTTAAAGTAAAATAAGTTTATTTTATACTTGAATCTGACAAAAATGTGATTGTACTGATATTCTAAATAACTTCAGTATTACAGAGCAAAAGGGAAAAAAAAAACATTTTATTCTTAATGTAAAGTTTGATACAACTGATTAAACTTTCATTGACATCAATATCAGGTGAAATATTTTATAGCTGCAATTCTCAAAGTATCCTTCAAGTGCTGATTTGTTAAATGTTTTCTTTGACGAATCAACAATGTTTAGTGTTTTTATTTAGGTCTTAATAAAACACTAAACGGACTTGTTTGACAATCTTTTTTTTTCTAAGCATCAGCCACGAATTTTGCACTAATACATTATATCCCGGTGTACAAAGTCCCAAAATTTTTGATTACGAGATGGTAAATTTCTGTTATGTCGGGTGTTTAATTCGACCGCTGTCAATAAGTCCATTATTATTTCTAAGACGTCATAAGTCAAATGATACTAGACGCATGGCAAAATGTAGATTCGAATGTTATTGTAAATTATTAAAAAATGTGGAATTTCGAATTTTTTGGATTGCATTGAAAGCGGTTTTTTTGTGAGACTCGGCAGATGAGGATCAATTGTAGAGTGTGATCGGTATGACAACTCTGCTAACGTTAATGAATTCGACACAAATGATGATCTGGAATCTTTAAATTTGTAACTTTATGGTACGTTTTAAAAGTTTCCACTGTGTTATATTTTTCTTAAAATTCTTGAATAAATTGTCTTGACTTTTTTTATTCTTAATTTTTTTCTGAGCATAATTTAAAGTATTTCTTAAAAAAAAACTTTATTTTTATCGGAAGTATGATGAGAGAAAATGCAAAATTAGTTGCAAATAGCATGTTGAAAATAGTTTTCTAAAGGGGTAATTTGTAAAGGTAAATTTGCACATATCTATCTCATTGCTTATGATGCATCGATATATAATGATCAAAGAATGTTCCACATTGTTTAAATCGACTTATACATCGATATATTCGGTAATAATTTGATTCTACCTTTTTTTAAATCGAATTATTGGTTTAAACTAAATTGATAGCTCTGTGAGACACTAAAATATCATCTGCTTGCCATTAGTTGCTGCCGATGTGACCAAGCGTCCAGCGAAATGCGCGTTGAGAAGCATTTGAATCATATTTAAACTTATACTAATGAACATTTGAAAATCAGTATGCCGAAAGCAGCAAATCTAATAAATTTCAGTAATTCTCAGCAACCTTTTTCCTTTATACATTTCTCAGCGATATTTCCTTTTATATTATTCATCATTATCTATTAACAGTTTTCGAAAAAAGTAATATATTAAGTCCGAACATGATTTTATGAACTTCTCATCAGAGTTTATTATTATTATAGATAAATATAAATATTTTTAGTTTTGTATATATATATTTTTTTAAATGTGCATTTTTACATTAATTTTCACACGTCGCACTGTTTTTACTTATAATGTTTTTTTAAATCTTCCATCGTGAAATTTTTCAATCTGTTGTTTAAAAATAAATAAATAAATCTAAACTATGACATTTCAATTAATTATCCGTTTTATTTTGAGATAACAAATTAATTCAAATTTTAAGTTTGATTTTTCTTATATTGCCCAATAACGATTTAACCTTGAAAATTCGAACGAAAAAAAAAACTTTTTTATTCATTATCAAAATCCAATCTAACAACATCTTGGAGACAACTAATTAGCATTATCCCTGATTAAAGAAAATTTTCTTCACAGGATAAAAACGAATAACTTTCCAACTAACTGTCAAGAGTCACTTTCAGATTCATTTTATGGGTGCAAGTCATGACACAATACATTACATGCGTCGTCGGTCTTTTTCTCTGATGATCTGCACAATGGAATACTACGCATGAGGGTTCTTTTATTCAAGGCGAATGATAGACATAGAAGAAATAATATAATGAAAGAATATTAGAAGGCGTGTGTAGAACTGGTTTATATTCCAAAATATAATAGACAAGAAGTATGATCTCATTTCCTGCCTTTATTTTCCGTTTGCTTCTATAATAAAAAACTAGCGGTCTTAGGTATTTTTTAGGTCAAGAATTTCCGCCCGCTGACTATTTCTGGTTTTGTTTTTGTTTCGATTTAGATTTGTTGTTTCGTTTTGGTGGAGTTTATATTTGAGTTGAATTTTCATGCGGAGAGATGTTTGAACTCAGAGAGGTTGAACTCAATGCCGTTTTTTTCCCCCCACTACATAAACCCAGTTGCTAAATTCTTATTTGCTATTTTTTCTATTGTTCAATTGATTCGAAAAAAATGGTCTGGAAATATCTATACGAATAATTAAAAATGCAAAATATATTCTCGTTTCTTTGTAGTCATGGTTCGATAAATTTGATTTTAAAAACAAGAAATATTTGAAGGAGATAGGAATTTTATATTAAGTAAATAGAATTAGATAAATTTCTTTCTAAAGAAAGTATACTCTGTTAAGTTTGTAATTTAAAAGCTAAAATTAAGCTTGTTTTTTTTAAAGAGAATTCTTTTAAGAGTTATACATGAATTAAGGTGTGAGTTTTATGTATCACTCTTTGTCTTTTAAACGAATCTATCAAAATTCACACGAGAAGTAATTTTGTTATAAAACGCAGCTTTTTGATTAAAAATTAGGAATTTTTTTATTGATTCATATAGGTAAATTGACACCGTGGTTTTGCAAGCACAATCGAACTCCTTTGTCTAAATTTTCATAACTATTTTCCATAAATGTGGCTGAATTTCGTTGATAGTGCATTCAATTTTTCTTCAAGTTATGCGGGTTTGTTGGCCTAAACCAGTGTTACCCAAACTTATGACTTTTGTGTACCCTTACTAAATTTTTCGCAACGCTGTGTACCACTAATAAAAAATGAATGTATTTTTTTTTCTTTCTTTTTTGGTACAAAGTTTTGTTAATAAGTTTATTTGGAGAATATTATTTTTGCTATGATAAAAAATTTTTTTCCCACAGAAGTTAAAAATCACAACTGGTTGTCGTCACCACTAATTATTGAATGTTAACACAGCAAAAAATAGCCAATAGAGAAATATTTACTCGTAAATTTTCATGGCTAGCTTTGCTTTTAAATAAAACTTTTTGAAATGTTCGTTTGTTGCAAGATATTTCGCATAAGAACGCGTACCCCTGTTAGACTGTTCCCGTACCCCTGGGGGTACGCGTACCACACTTTGGGAAACACTGGCCTAAACGATGAAAAAATTTCTACATGTCAAATCCTACAATCGGGACCGTCTATTCTGGGAAATAACACGATCAGGTAAAATATTGCTCAGCAATGAAAATGCAGCCTAAACTAAGAGTTGCTCTGCTGTCAAAAAGAAGACGACTAAAAATAGATTTTTATTTTTATTTATTTTTTTTTTTTTAAATCCTAAAATGTAGTGTAACGTGTTTTAAAAGGATTCTATTTAAAATTACACTCTTTGAGACTAAACTGTTTCCAGAACAACTTTAGAATTTAAATATATACAGTTGTTACAATCGTGCGAATTCAGAAAAGGCTTATTTTAAGACTAAATTACAAAAAGCTTGGATCTAAATTCTGGTTTTCAATTTTTTTTTAAAACGTTCAAATCAAATGTTACTACTTTTTTACCCACTAAATCCCCTCCCGAACATTCAACTAAAAATATGATAGATTTTTTATTTTTTTATGCATGAATAAAGTTCTTAAATTAATATTTCTTTTAAATATAGGGAAAAAACTTAGGACTTTTTTTAATTAATTGTTTTATAAGAAAATTTCTGTGACAAAATGTAAATTTCATTTCATATTTCATTATTAATATTTCTTTGTTAACTATGAAGTTTCTTGTTGTTTCTGATTGCACGTGCATTCAACAGACATTCTATAAAAAAAATCCTTTGTGTGGGGAGTATGATTTATATTTTTGCTCTTATAAATACAATAAGTATGCAGTGCACAATGTTGAGGATTTAGTACGTTTTCCATTAGCTTGTTAATTACTGAAAAACTTAGTGGAAGAACTGTTAATTGACAGTATAGAAATTAGCAAATTTGAAACAGTAGGCTTTAGAGAGTAGTGGTTGCTAACCTTTTTGAGCGTAGTGGTTTAGAGAGTAGTGGTTGCTAACCTTTTTGAGAGTAGTGGTTTAGAGAGTAGTGGTTGCTAACCTTCGTGGTTTTCCTCTCCTTGTAGTGCAAATGCGTGTTAGTTCCATAAAAAAAAACCTCCACGAAGGCAAATTTGTCCTAATATTCGATCCAGGAGCTCCCTTGTTTTCTAGATTTGGTTTAAAATTACAAGGCTACGGAGTTGAACATTGGTAGTTGTAAACCCGGAATTGGGTCGGCTGCCGGTTATGAAATAAAATTAAATTAAATGCGCTCACGTGTTATATATATTAATCATATATATTATATGAGTTATATATATAAGTTATATAATTTTATTATAATGCGCTCACTAGTCGTAATAACATAATAAATGTACCGGGATTATAAAAAAACAACATATATTTGATTTATTAATGAAAAGAAAAGAAGAAAAAAACGAAACATCACTTGGATTCACGATGAAATCAGCAAAAATAAAACGAATCGAAGAGTGATTACTCAAACTCCAAATGCGCACTTCATAATATCGTATAAAAGTTTTTTTTTCTTTCTCCTTTAAAAAAAAAGCTATGCAGAATTTTATAGCAATAACCATTGAAAAGCGATCGAGAAACAACGTAGATTTACAATAGAATCTGTGCAAATTGAGCACATCAAAAAGTGATGACTCAAAAGTTTTATAATTTTCTACATTTTGTTTTTCATAAAAATGTTTATAAATAAATAAGAAAAATTGTGTTTAGAAGCACCCCTACTTTAGAATGTATGGAAATAATAGGAAGCTGTTAACAAAACATATTTATCCATTGATAATAATCTTTTTGAAAATTTCAGAATTCAATTAATGCATGTTTTATATTTATAGCTGACCACAACATATTCTTTTTCCCATAAATTCAAATGCTTCCAAAATGTATGCTTCAAATGTTATTCCACTAAGCTTTTCAATTTATTAACCAATTACTTTCATATTCATTTCAAAAGTATATTACATAAATTTTTATGCTAATGTAGTGATTTGCCATCAATGTTGTATTAATTAACAAAATCTATTTTAATTGTTATAGGTTACAGAAAGATAATCAAGAAAACATGGATAATCAAGGAAAAGGCCTTATAAAAGCCTTAGAAACTTGGGCAAAGAATGTAACAAAAGGTTACAGAGATGTTAATGTTCGTGATATGTCTGTTTCTTTTAGAGATGGACTTGCATTTTGTGCCATTATTCATCATTATCGTCCTGATCTCATGTATGTTACTTTCTGATACTTCAAACCTTTTTTTTAAAACATAAAGAATTTTTTTCTTCACCCTTTTTATAATAGAGTTGCAAATCGTTCCATATAAAGCAAAGCTGTCGTGATTTAATGTATTCATATTTTCTGTAGGAAATGTATTGAAATTGACTTCAAAAATTTGCAGAACTATAACGTTCCTATATGTAACCCAAAAATTATTTAAAAATGCCTTGTCCTATTAGAAATAAACATTTTAAAGTGGAATGTTAACTAAAACGCTTTTATTTTGGGCAAGTGTTTTTATAAACGGTGAATTTTTTTGCAAATATTTTCTGTTTAATTTTTTTAAAATTTTTTATTATTGAATACAAGACTTTTTTTAGTAACGGTAATCGTTTGTAAGTGGTGCAAATTTTAAAAATTAGCTTTAATATAGCTCATAAAAGAAGAAAAGACATATTTTACAGCTTTTTTATGCTTATACATTTGGAGCTAGCAATTAAAAAAATTCTTTTGAACTAGAGTTTTTAATTTTTATGCATCCTGTATAATTTATAAATCAATAAAGGTTTTTGTCTTTCATATTTAAAAGTTGTTATTGAAACACTATTATGGTTTACTATTTCTTTAAAATAGCCTCTGCCTCATGCTCTTTATGTGGTGGATAACATCTCTTAATGTGCACCAAATTGAAAGATATTGACTATGGGGATGCTTCCCATTCTGGTTTTTTGCACTTTTTTTATTGGTCAGCAAGATAGCGCATGGCTGATTGGTTCAGGCACTGCATAGCATAAAGAAGAAATTTTTTTTTCTTTAAAATATAAATAAGTTAAGCATCTAAAGGTCTTTATTTTTAAGGTACCCTTAATACGGTTTATTCTCAATGTATACGTATATATATATATATGTGTGAAACTCGTATAAAAATGTAAATATGATTGACATTTTATTTTCTTAAACATAACCAGTAATAAAGTATATGCATAAGCTAATGATATTTTTTATTTTAAGGAGGGCAGGAGAAAGATACTAGCTATTCACATCTGCTTTAATGGTGTTTTAAGTAAAAACCATTAAAGCAGATGTGAAATAGAAAAGGCATTAAAAAAAGTTTTAAAAAAAAAGCAAAAACGACTTTAAAGTTAATAAGAAATGTTTGAAAAAATTGCACTGTTGCTGTCTAAATCATCTTCGTAATATAATTTTCTATTAGTTAATAGAAAATAGAAAATTTCTGTATTAAAATTAGCTTTACAAATTCTTTATTTCCCTTAAAACATACTAGGTTAAGGATATTTTTTAATTATTTGGGCACTCACTGTCTGAATAAAATCATTTGAAAGATCATTTGAAAAAAGAAAGTGCTATGGAAACAATGCATACCTACCGACATTTTATGCATATATATTTAAAAATGTATGAAATGGAGAAAAAAGTCAATGCCGGGAGTAAGTCGAACATTAAACATACTGACTTTATCTATTTACTGTATGAAAAATCTAAGGCTATAATTAAATTTCAGCTCATCTATTTTTAATTATTAAACAGTTAACACCATTTTAAACTGGTCTGTTGTAATGTTTTGAGGTCCCTATTTCCTATTGTTTTTAGACTAACAATAATACCATCATCTTTAAATTTTTTGGTGTTTAATGTTAGAATGTGTTTTATGCTTTTTCAGTCAGTGAGCATTAAAAATTGGCCTTTTTTTTAAAAAAAATCATAACTCTAGTATTATGCAATCATAGAGAGTTTGTAAATAATTAAATTCTATTCTTGAAACTGTAAGGCACATTCAGTTCAAAAATTACTATTTTTTGAATACAGTCAATTTATAACTCGAAGTACGATAACTCGAATATTACTATAACTCGATTTTTTTATGAGGTCCCGACCCTTTTATCTTCAATTTCATGTTAATTATTCTCGATTACTCGAATTTTACTCCCTTTAACTCGATTTTTTTTGGATCTTTTAAAGCAAGAAAAAAAACCTAGGAGCTGATATCTTGCCCCTTCCTTTGCAACACACACACAATGTCTTTCGCACTCTTCATGGAGAAGCTAAAGCTGTCCCTCTTGAAGTATGTGAACAGTGGTTAAATGAAACGTTACCAAATTTACTTCAAGGATACAGTTAAAATGATGTTTTCAATATTGATGAAATGGGTTTATTTTTTAAATGTCTTCCAAATAAGACTATGATGTTTAAGGATGAAAACTGCTCAGGGGGTAAAATGAGCAAGGAACGTTTGACTGTCCTAGTTGGAGGAAATGCGTCTGGGACAGAGAAATTGCCCTTACTTGTTATCGGAAAATACCGAAATCCCCGATGTTTCAAGAATGTAAAAACGTATCCTTTGGATTACAAGTCTAACAAAAAGTTTTGGATGACATCAGTTTTATTTGAAGACTATGTAAGAAAATTGCATCGGAAATTCTTCGCTAAAAAATAAAGTGATACTCTTTATGGATAAATGCACAGTACATAGTGATCTTCCTAATTTAAATGCAGTGAACTTGCAGTTTCTCCCGCCAAACACAACAGCAAAGTTGCAGACGATGGACCAGGGTATCATAAAGTGCTTCAAACAGTCTTATCGTAAATGACTTGTCAGAAAAATTATCTTAAATATTGTAGCAATTAGAAGATTTGTAATTAATAAGCATTAATTAAATAATCAGACAATATTTTGAAAGTCCAAAACCGAAACTAACGGTAAGTCGAACTTCCGATATGTCGAAGTTTTTCGTCAGTCCTATCAGATTCGAGTTATCGCGAATTCACTGTATTTGCTTTTATTTTTCATTTAAATACTTATTAACTGTAATTTAGTGAAATTTAAGTTTTTTATTTTCAGAATTATCTTACTCAATTCATTATCTTTTTAGAATTATCTTATTATAACTATCTTATTATAATTATTCTTTTATTTTACTGAAATTTGTTCTTTCTTATTTTTAATTTCAGTGATATTGATTCACTTTCAAAAGAAAATATATTGGAAAACAATCAATTGGTAAGTTGATATTTAAGTCTAGTTACTATAGTAATTAAATATATTTTTTATTAATAGTTCAATTTTGTGTATTTTTTTTATATGTCTGAATAAAAAAAAGAATTTTTGAAGATAAATATTTTAACTGATAAAATATTTCAAGCAGTCAAAATAAGTTTAGTCATATTTACTTGTAGTTTTTGAGTTTTCTACTGTAAATACACACTGTTTTCTGTTCACAAATATACTTTTTTTATTCCTTTTTCCATTTGATTTTCATTGAACGTAGTTTATAGTTAGAGTTTATGCCTCTAAGACAACAATTGTCGCCAATGTCCTACCATGTCGCTAAAATTATAGGCATTCGTGACAAATATTTCACTAATGCGTATGATTTTGGCGAATTGATTTTGAGTATGATTCAGCGTATGATCGCTTTGAAATATGTTTAGAAGTTGCAAAATAGTAACAAAAATATTTTTTTGCATCAAATTTCGTATAATTAATAATTTTTAATGTTTACCGTAACATGAATTTATTGTAATTGTAATGGATTGTAAAGTTTGATTTATTTTTTCAAGTTTGTCTACTATGTTAAGTTTTTAGACTACTAAATTTATAAACTCTAGGTGGTCTTACTGGACCGCTGAATTTTTATTGCTGGTGTGAACCATATTTATAATGTTTGATTTTGTTGCCTTGAGTGCGTGATTGTTTAATTTAGATGCAGTGCAGTGTACTTGATTCAGACTCTTGTGCCATTAAACTTTGATTTTTACTTATAGGCTTTTAGTGTTGCAGAAAAGCAACTTGGAGTACCAGCTCTTTTAGATGCAGAAGACATGGTTCAATTTTCAAGGCCAGATCGCTTGAGCATAATTACTTATTTATCCCAACTGCATAATTGTTTTGAAAATCAAAATAAAAGTATGAAATTTGTTTTTTATTTTTTAAAAAAACTCAATATTTATTCAATTTTTTTCTGTATCAGTCTTGAAATATTATATTTTCCAGATAGATGAGAAGTGCATATTTTTTGCTATTTTATTTTGTTTCGGCTTGAATCTAATATGATAGAATCTTTAATGCTAAAAAGTTTTGCTTAATACTCAAGTCTCAACAGTACAATACAATATTTATATATAACTTATAGGAAACTTTCTTTAGAATAACTGGTGCAATAACTTTTTGGTGGATAACTTTACTTGGGATCACTGTTATGTAGAGAAAAACCTACCTGTGTGTTGTGAAAAAGGATTTTTTTTAAATTATTAATTTTCCTCAAAAATGGTCACTTATTTATAAATTGCTAATAATGAATTTTTAATAATATATTTTATTATTTTAAAGTTATCCCTGCTAATAAGAGAAGGGAAAAAATCTCTAAGCTATCATATTACTTTACATAGAGCATATTTGAAAAAATTGTATTCTTAGCGGAAGTTAGATTTTTGTTTCACTTAGGTTAATTATCTTCTGTGTAAATACATTGGGTTAAAAAAAAGTTATTGTTGAGTATATTTTTGTTTTATAAAGATTTGTGTATATTTTGTGTATATTATTTCCAGAAAACTTTCTTCAATATTTCACTTGTAGGTTCTACTTGATGAATCCTAATTATGTTTTTTTATGAATGTTTTTATCATTTCCTATTGCTTAACTTTTATTATTTTCTCTGTTCACAGTGCGATCTGGTTTTAAAAGGTTGCAAACTAACAATATTTCTGTACGACCCTCAAAGGTATGTTATTTTTTAAGAATTGATCCTATAACAAAAAATATATGTATATATATAAACCTTATCCATTCTAAATACTTTCAAAAAATGGGTAATTACTACAATCTTCTTGTATTCATTTTTAATTGGATAAATTTAGTAAATTCATTTAAGTATTAACCCTTTGCTTACGGTATATCATGTTGTACGGTGTATCACCACCAGCCCTGAGCAAAAGGTTAATGAGGCTCAAGTTTACCTATAATTTCATCAAAATGATTTTATATGTGTGAATTGCCTAGCAAATTTTTGTAATTTTTTTATTTATTTTTAGTTATAATTTGTCAACTATTCAACTGATTTAAAATTTCAAATATTCAACTGATTAATTTTTTATTGTATTTAAAAGTTTAAAGTGGTGGGAAAATGTTTTGTACCTGAAACCAATATTTTGAGCATTGTTAAATTAAATAATCAAAAATAGTTCGACAGAGAAAGGAGCATTTTCTATGAGTGCATTTCAAACCATTTAGTCAACACCCTTTGATCATTATAGTAAATAATATTCAATTTTCTTCTTCTTTTTTGATGACTATGCATGTTCAATTCACAATTCCTTTATTATATTGCATGATTTCAGATTTTTCATGCATTATTTAAAAATATATTTTTTTATTTAGTTTTTTATTTATTATTATTTTTTGTTGTTGTAATGATCCCAATAAGAAAATTGTCTAGGTGTATAATGGTCTTATTAAGAAGGCGTGAAAAAAGGTGAAGAAAATGAGTGTACTAATCATGTTAATATTTTTTTCAAGTTTTGTATTGATATGGAGTCATTGGTGTGGTATATTATCACCTTTAATTTTTTTCTTCCTAATTTATCTGTATTTATTTATTTACTCTATTTCATAAGTGTATTTATTCTCGTTTGCTTGCACATGGAAAATATTTATTTTTAATGCTAATAATTTAAAAATATTGATATTATGAAGATTTTATGAAATCATATCACAGGCTTAATAATTATGAACATCAAGTACGTTTTTATTTGAACAATATGCAAATGTGTGCAAAACTGTGGTAAATTTCACAAAAAATTAATGGAGTGATGTGACTAATTAAAAAAGGTATTTGCTAACTCATTCAAAACAATATCATTAAAAGATAATAATGAAATCCTTCATTAAATATAATACTGTGAGTAAGGAGAGAGGTTTAAAATCAATCATTAACTGACCCAAAATAGTAATTTATTATAGTTTTTGTTTTAATGATTTCTAAAATTTATTGGTAGAAGGTTTCATTTGCTCAAAAAGAATGTTAAAATTTAATCATTTGCTAAATAAATATTTTTTTCTCTCCAGGTATTAGCTGCAGAACCAAAACTTACTAATAGACGAGTTGAGGTTTGCCAAGTCTGCAACAATCGGGTTTTCATTCTTGAAAGGCTCATTGTGGATAATAAGCTTTATCATACAGCTTGCTTTAGATGCTTTAAATGTAAAGCTCTACTGAATCCTGGTGCTTATATTGAAAGTGATACTCCAGGAAAATATGAATGTACTGTGTGTTTGCCGGAAGACAAATTGAGCAGCATGGAGACAGATGATACGGAATCGCATAGTTCACTTGAAGAAAAATGTGATGTTTCTATGAATTCTGTTTCAGAGCCTTTACATAATATACAGAACAATGTTGTAACGAAGTCTCCATTGTCTGAATCTGTGAACCAAGCTCGAGTAAGCTTTTTGGAACGAAGTTTAAATAAATCAGATTCAAGTACCAAATTCTCCCTCACCAACAAAACGCCAAGTTCATTAGAGAATGAACTTCCAAGAAATGGAATATCAGGTGCATATGACTTTTCAATATTTCCATTACTGTTTCAGAAAATTTATGATGTATGGACTGTTATGCAGTATTATATTTTAAGTTTTTTATTTTATTGATCTTTATTTTATTTTTATTTCTTAAATTTTTTCTTAATTTGATCTTTTTATATTGTATGATCTATTTGTCATCAATTTATGTCATGAAAGTATATTTTTTGACCCTTTTAGCATTAAGTAGAGTAAGCGTGTGCTTAATTTCTTCTCTATGATTTTTTCCCATTAAAACAAATGAGGAAATCTAATTTGTTTTCCATGAAAGCAACCCAACCAATTAGAAAAAAAATGAATGTATATTTTTTTTAATCAATTGTTTAATTCCTTACTTCAATTTTGCAGTAGTTTTTAATGCAGTTCTTCCAAATAGTCATCTTTTCCCTCCAATGTCCATTTATTAAAGTGAAGTCCGTTATAGTCCTTTTTTTAAATGTTAGATCCCCTTAGTCCTCTTTGGAATGATTTGAAAATCAGTTTATGGAAATTTTTCTAATATGATCTAATTGTGATGCTCTCTAACTTTGTGTTTCAAACTTTCTCCCAATTGTTCATATTGTTAGAAAGCCAATGATGTTAGTACACTATTTACTGTATTTATAGATCAGTGTTGTTTTTCTTGAACTTTGAGATCATACTTTTAATATTCTCATGTGAGTTTAGGAAGGCCAGCAACTACAAAGCTTTATCACTTAAAACTTTTCTTGTCCCTTTTATTCATTAGATTTAATAGAGATAAGAATAGGCATGCCAGATTTCATGCCCGTTTCCCGTCACAAGATTTAATTAACAATTTTAAAACTGAAAATATCTCATTGATTAAACTTAAGGTCCATCCATAAAGTGCTCTAAAGTGATTTAAGTATATAATCTATTCCACCCGATTTGTTGTTTCTGAATTTTGAAGACTCAAGATTTCAAATGACTTAATTAAATTTTTCTAACATGAAATTTTATAAGAGTGAATTGGTTCACGTACTTATTTAATATTGAATTTAATACTTATTTTGGAAGATAAGAATTCTTCCGTGATAGATATTAGTTGTTTCAAAAATTTTAATTGATTTCTATAAATTAAAAGATGAATTTAATCCAATTAACAATTCCATTATCATAAAAATTTAATGAAACTCTGAGGGGTTCACAAATTGTTTTATTAAAAAAAAATTTTTTTAGGTGTATTTTAAATTTGAAAAACTCTTCAATTGAAAATGTTAGGTTCCGTTTAAAAAATATTAAACAAATTACAATTTTAAATAGGATATTAAGCTTTCAGATTTGGTCTTAACAAGAAATAATTCTGATTGAGTTCCATAATTAATGACATTTTGAAAACTTATTAAAGTGGGATTACTAAATGCATTTATAAAAATAATTACTAAATGTAATATTAAAAAAGGGATCACTATTTTCTTAATTATGAGATTTTTAAAAAGTAAAATTTGAGGCGTTCATTTATCTAATACACATTAGCAATTGCAGTGACAAATCATCAAAATTTTTTATTAACTTTATTATCGTTTTAAAAAACAATGGAAAATAACAATTCAAGAACCAGATTTTTCAAAAAAGGTGGATTGCGAAACCATGTACTAATTTACTTTCGGCAGTTGTTTTAAGACTATTTTTACTCAAAAGTTATTGAAACTCTTTTTTTTTTTTTTAATTATTTAATCAAAGAAATTTTGAAATTACTATTACATAATCTTGGTTAAAGATTGATTCTTATGTGATGATATTTTCTAACCAGTATTTTAATTAATTTTTCACCTATGTAATTTTTACATTTTTGAATCTTTATGAATAAGGTAAATAAATAATTTAGAATAAGGTTTGAAAACTTGCACATCGAAGTTAATGGCTAACTTAAGAAACTTACTGTAAATACTTGTTAAAAAGATCCTGCACTAAATAAATTCTGTTTAATGATTTTTTTAAGATTTTCATAAGGAAGACTAATTAAATAACTGATTGTGGTAATTGAGTATAACTATGAATGGTCCTCTTTTCACTTACAAGTAGTCCACTTTTCCTTTTTTTGTTGGCTAAAATACAGGGTTGGCAGGTTTTTGACATGTGACAGTTTTTGACGGTTTAAACCGTCACGTCAAAAACCTCACTGTCAAAAATGTCAAAAACCTATATTCATATGTGAAATTTNTCCAATTAACAATTCAATTATCATAAAAATGTAATGAAACTCTGGGGGGTTCACAAATTGATTTAATTAAAAAAAAATATGTCTAGGTGCATTTTTAATTTGAAAAACTCTTCAATTGAAAATGTTAGGTTCTGTTTAAAAAATATTAAACAAATTACAGTTTGAAATAGGATATTAAGCTTTCAGATTAGGTCTCAACAAGAAATAATTCCGATTGAGAGTTCCATAATTAATGACATTTTGAAAACTTATTAAAGTGAAATTACTAAATGTATTTATAAAAATAATTGCTAAATGTAATATAAAAAAAGGGATCACTATTTTCTTAATTGTGAGATTTTAAAAAAGTAAAATTTAAGGCGTTGTTCATTTATCAAATACACATTAGCAATTGCAGTGACAAATCATATCAAAATTTTTTATTAACTTTATTATCATTTTATTTAAAAACAATGGAAAATAACAATTCAAGAACATCAGATTTGTCAAAAAAGGTGGATTGCGAAATCATGCACTAATTTACTTTCGACAGTTGTTTTAAGACTATTTTTACCCAAAAGTTATTGGAACTCTTTTTTTTTTTTTTTTTTTTTAAGTTATGTAATCAAAGAAATATTGTAATTACTATTGCATAATCTTGGTTAAAGATTGATTCGTATTTTGAAATTGGGACGACATTTTCTAATCAGTATTTTAATAAATTTTTCACCTTTGTAATTTTTACATTTTTGAATCTTAGAGAATAAGGTAAATAATTCCGAATAAGGTTTGAAAACTTGCACATTGAAGTTAATTGCTAACTCAAGAAACTTAATGTAAATACTTGTTAATAGGATCCTGCACTAAAAAAATTCTGTTTAATGATTTTTTAATATTTTCATAAAGAAGACTAATTAAATAACTTAATGTGGTTATTGAGTATAACTATAAATGGTTCTTTTAAGTCCTCTTTTCACTTACAAGTAGTCCACTTTTCTCTTTTTTGTTGGCTTAAATATGTTGAGAGCCTGTTTATGAGAGAAAAAAAGAGGTTTTGTAATAAATTTTATCTGATGTTATTACATTATAAAAAGTCACTAAGCTCCTTAAATATTTTTGACTTCATACTCACAATTTATGGCAATGTCTAAAATATACATTTTGTTTATAATTAATTATGTCTGAATTAAATTGCAGAATTTTGTATATGAAGATACAAAAAAAAGATATATAATAACTAGTTTTCAAAAGTCATGTTCTAATAAACTGAAACATTAGTTTGTAATTGTTGCTAGAGGTGACATTTGTTGTTTGCAAAGTAAAGCTCCTGATGCCTCGATGTTTTGTGTCATTTTCACAAATTTTGATCTTTAGTTTTAAGAAGTCTTAATGTGAATTTCAATTTAAAAGAATTAATTCCATTTAAATGCATTGGGAATAACCTTGCAGGAATTTTACTTGCCAGCTCCTAGATGAAGTTTTTTTTTTTTTTTTTAATGTGTTATCAACTTTAAATGATGTATTTTGGTTTTAGAAATTTTTATTAACCATTAACTTTCATTTATTGGTATATTTTTTTTCACAGTGAAGGACAAAATTAGTNAAATTTTTCTGCACATGCATTTGAATATAAATTTCTGAGATTTTAAATCTGTTATTTTACCTTAATTTTAATTAAAAAATATTTTAAAACCTGCTGATTACCTATAGTATAATTAAATTTCAATATAATGCATGACAACTGTTAGTAGTTCTGAAGTTTATATACTTTCTTGCAAACTTCAGTTTTTGACGGTTTAAACCAGTATTATACCCTTGTCATGTCAAAAACCACTTTTTGACGTCAAAAACCCAACTCTGCTAAAATATGTTGAGAGCCTGCTTATGAGGAAAAAAAAGAGGTTTTGTAATAAATTTTATCTGATGTTATTACATTATAAAAAATCACTAAGCTCCTTAAATATTTTTGACTTCATACACAATTTATGGCTATGTCTAAAATATACATTTTGTTTATAATTAATTATGTTAGAATTGAATCGCAGAATTTTGTATATGAAGATACGAAAGGAAGATATATAATAACTAGTTTTCAAAAGTCATGTTCTAATAAACTAAAACATTAGTTTGTAATTGTTGCTAGAGGTGACATTTGTTGTTTGCAAAGTAAAGTTTCTGATGCCTCGATGTTTTGTGTCATTTTCACAAATTTTGATCTTTAGTTTTAATATGTCTTAATGTGAATTTCAATTTAAAAGAATTAATTCCATTTAAATGCATTGGGAATAGCCTTACAGGAATTTTACTTGCCTGCTCCTAGACTAAGTTTTTTTTTTTTTATTAATGTGTTATCGACTTTAAATGATGTATTTTGGTTTTAGAAATTTTTATTAACCATTAACTTTTATTTATTGGTATATTTTTTTTCACAGTGAAGGACAAAATTAGTGTTTTTGAATCCAGTAAAGTATCTAAAGCAGACTCCCCACCATCTTTAGAGCCGACTTCACCAACCAACCTCAGAAAGTCACCAACACCAAAATCACTGTCATATTTAAATACTTCTTTAAATCAATCTCCAAAACCCAGTGTTAGACTGTCAAAGTTATCTACTGTTACTCCAGATAATAGTGAAAAATCAAATGAAGACAAAACAATTATGAAGGCTACTGAAATAGATACTATACATGCAGATCATAGTTCCACTGTAAAAGAATTCACAAATGATTCAAATTCAATTGAAACCAAATCAGTCTGTGATAATGTCTCTTCCAATGAAGTTCCTCTTTCAGATCCTACTCTTTCTTTGGTTAGCAATAGTATCAGTCCTTTGAAAACTTTACCTAAGGATTTGGACAAAAATGTTATTTATAAAAGTTCAATAGGGGAATACAAGAGTCCATTAAAATCTTCGCGTGATATTTTTCAAACTAATATTCAGCCTTTGAAACTTACTATTCCGACTATAAATACCAGTGTAAATTCAGAATCATCTAGTTTGCCTACGACACCTCTTTCCCCTTCTACAGATCACATTAAATCGAATGAAATCGCACACATCAGACCATCTTATAACAAGTCTTTGACTCGTCCTCTTAGTTATTCCAACTTGCAAGTCAAACAGAAGTCTGATGACATAACTGACAGCAATTCATCTAGCATGCTTTCAAATGAAAGAAGTGATGCAACTGTTAGGAGCAAAGCACTTTCGCTTGATAAAAATTCTGAATTAAAAAGTAGTGTTTCACTTAATCTTATTTCGAAAACTGACAATAAAGATCCTGTTTCAACAATTAATGAGCAAACAAATATGACTATGAGTTCTACTACTATTACCAAAATATCTCCTATTCCATCAATAAGACACAGTATTGAATCCAAGAAGCTAGATTTGCCGCCAAAAGAAATTAAAATCTCCATAAGAACGCCTGAACCTTCGTTCCCCAAAAGCACAGTTATAGAGAAAAAGGAGAAAGAAGATGCACCTGTAAAGCAGCTTGTTCCCAAAGACGAAGAAGAAGAAACTTACCCAGATGATTTAAATCCTTTTGGTGACGAGGAGGAAAATGAGGAAGAAGAATATCCAGATGATTTGAATCCTTTTGGTGATGATGAAGAAGAAAAGCCACGTAAAGTATTTGAAGGGGTGTGTGCTGATAACTACGATGAGTCAAAGAATCCATTTGCATCAGATGAAGAAGAAGCTGAAAGTTCGCTTACAGCAAACACACCATCGCCTAGGCCATATAGATCTCAAAATAATTCACCCTTTGGAACAATTTCGTCTCCAACCGGATCACTTAGAGGGACAACTAAAAAGAGGAAAGCCCCACAACCTCCTAAACTTAGTGACATCTTCCCCAATAATGACTCTCCTGATAGCTCCTCGAAGCCGTCTCCATCTGTGAGTCGAAGAGGTCTTGAGACTCCTTCACCTAAACTCAGAAAAAGTAAACCAGCTCCTCCTCCACCACCTACGCCATCTCCTAGGCAAAATGGTGTGTCACCCACTAGGAAACAACCTCAGCCTAAAGAAGAGGATAATAAGTCGGACTCCGCTGCCAAAGAATCCAAGCGACGAAAAAGACCTGCCCCTCCTGTACCAATTCCAATGCGAAAAGATGTAAGAACTTAGAATTTTGAGATCTATTTTATTTCTAGTTATTATTTTCAAAATGTTGTTTAAACTCAAGATACTGATAAAATAGCCTATTTGCAAAGTTTAAACTACTAATAATTTTAATTTATCTATATATTATTATAGATTTTTAATAGATTTAAATTTTTTTAAGAGATTTTACGTGGTTAAATAGTTTTTTTTATATGTTTTTAAGTTGGACTATTCATTTGAAAAATCTCATTTTATAATGGTTTACAAACAAAAGTTGAACACTCCTAACTGTTAATATGGCATTTTTTAATGGGAAGTCTATGTTTTCTACCTTCATGCTTGTGTATTTGTCAAAGCCTTTTCAAACTGATCAAAACATTGCTAACCACAAAATAATTTTTTTTTTTTTACTCCTATTAAGATTTTTACCATACATGTAACATAAATCTCTTCTTTCATAAAACTATTGAATCACATTTTCCATTCGATTTACTATTTATGAGGAGGGACCTACAAAAAATCGAAGTGTGCTTCCATTTGTAGACACAGTTGGGAGTTCTTCTGCTTGATGGGGTTAGTAGAGACTGTCACGAAGCAGCTGTGCAAATGGCGTCAATTAGTAGGTCAACGTTTAGGTATAGCGTTGTGTTTCTCTTTCTGTTATATTGTTCCGCTTGCGCAGTTGTTTCGGCAGATTTAAACGAACAAAGAATGTGTTTAAAACTTTTCTGTTTGAAAAATTGGCAGCGGAAGCTTATGAAATGCTGGGCTATTAAAGAGGATACTATTAGCCCAGGGCTGATTGTGCTCCGGAAAAAATATGGATTTCCGGATTTTTCGCTAACAGTGATCTGGAAGTTTCCGGAGATCGAAGGTCCAGACGTTTCGCAAAAATCATTGATCACAGAAGTTTCCGGAAATCAAATTTTCAAAGGTGGAACTAAAAAACACAGTTTATTTTATTTGTTTGTAAGGGAGAGCCAGAGAGATACTTTATAAGCTTATATTCATGATTAATATAAATTTTTTATCAGTAAATACTTGTTATAATCATAAACTCAAGAAAGAAAAACATATTTGTAAATTGTAATTACTTCTCCAGGTCATCATAGGTATGTGTAGAATTTTAAATATATTTTAGGTATACTAAGAAATATTGAGAAAAGGGGGAAAAAAAACCTTGTTAAATTTTTTTCCAATTTAAACTGTTTTTTTTTTTTTTTTTTTCTCAAGAATCGGNTTAGGCTCACAATCACCCCTGCATACACACAAATGTTCTGGTGCTTTTGGCATGCAGTGAAATGAGTGTTTGAAGATCATGCTTGTTCTGGGCAAATTCCACAAATGAGGAAAAAAATAACTAAAAAATCAAAGAGGATTGTCGTTTCACAATTGACCAGATTTCAGGAGAGACAGGCGTTAGTTGGAGCTTGTGATTTGCAAATGAGGCATGTTTCCACTAAACGCTAAATGAACCTTTCAGATGTGAACTGTCATCCTCCACCCTCGGTATTTGCCCTATACTACTTTTTCCTCTTTCCGAGAATGACAAAGCATAAAAGAAAGGGAGCGTTTTAATTTTGTTAAGGCAATTAAATAGTTTCGCAAAACAGTGGGAAAAAAGACTTGATAAGTGTATTACATCTAAAGGAGAGTACTTTAAAGGTGTCTGAAGGAATTAAAAAAATTTATAACTAAAATTATATAGCTAAAAAAAACTTTGTAACCAAATTTTTTTTTTAAAAATCTGTATTTTTTATTTTTCTTCATTTGATAAAAGGGGTCTGTCTAGGCTTTTCTGAAAGGTACCTTTTTTGTGAAAATTTTGACATAATTTGTGAAAAATTATATTAAAAAGTCAACACAAAAACATGGTAAAAATATAGATTTATNAAAGACGAAGAAGAAGAAACTTACCCAGATGATTTAAATCCTTTTGGTGACGAGGAGGAAAATGAGGAAGAAGAATATCCAGATGATTTGAATCCTTTTGGTGATGATGAAGAAGAAAAGCCACGTAAAGTATTTGAAGGGGTGTGTGCTGATAACTACGATGAGTCAAAGAATCCATTTGCATCAGATGAAGAAGAAGCTGAAAGTTCGCTTACAGCAAACACACCATCGCCTAGGCCATATAGATCTCAAAATAATTCACCCTTTGGAACAATTTCGTCTCCAACCGGATCACTTAGAGGGACAACTAAAAAGAGGAAAGCCCCACAACCTCCTAAACTTAGTGACATCTTCCCCAATAATGACTCTCCTGATAGCTCCTCGAAGCCGTCTCCATCTGTGAGTCGAAGAGGTCTTGAGACTCCTTCACCTAAACTCAGAAAAAGTAAACCAGCTCCTCCTCCACCACCTACGCCATCTCCTAGACAAAATGGTGTGTCACCCACTGGGAAACAACCTCAACCTAAAGAAGAGGATAATAAGTCGGACTCCGCTGCCAAAGAATCCAAACGACGAAAAAGACCTGCCCCTCCTGTACCAATTCCAATGCGAAAAGATGTAAGAACTTAGAATTTTGAGCTCTATTTTATGTCATTATTATTTTCAAAATGTTGTTTAACGCGTTGAATGCCACGCTAATTTTACATGACTTGTCCTGGCCGCAATGATAAATAACTACAAATTAAATTTGCAAATATTAGACAGATTTTGTGAATTATATAAGCCTACGAATTGTTTAGAGATAGTGGGGGATAAAAATCTACTAAATTGAATTTATTAAACCAAGAATCACAATTAATAAACTACCACTTGAAAATATTTATTTGCTGTCCATAGCAACTTTGCATCTCTGTGTATATAAATAAAACTATTTTTGTGTGTTCTATATTGCACTAATTTCTTCTAACCATTTTAATAACAATAATAATATAAAAAAATTAAAAATTTACTCAAATTATGTATTTCTAATAAACTTGGCTTCGCCGGTCACCGGTGACCCCTGTGGCGCTACAAACAAACTCAGTGCCAGTCACCGGTGCCCCCATGGCATTCAACGTGCTAAACTCAAGATACTGATAAAATAGCCTATTTGCAAACTTAAATTACTAATAGTTTTAATTTATATATATATTATTATAGATTTACATGTTTGAATATTTATTTTATATCTTTTTAAATGGAACTATTCATTTGAGAAATCTCATTATATAATGTTTTACAAACAAAATGTTTTAAATGCAGTTACGCTCCTAACTGTTAATATGATATTTTTTTAATGGGAAGTTTGTTTTCTACCTTCATGCTTGTGTATCTTTCAAAGCCATTTCAAACTGATCAAAACAGATCAAAACATTGCTAACCACAAAATAAAAAAAAATTTTAATATTTTTTTTTTACTCTTATTAAAATTTTTAGCATATATGTAACGTAAATCTCTTCTTTCCTAAAACTATTGAATCACATTTTCCGTTTGATTTACTATTAATGAAGAGAGACCGACAAAAAATCGGAATGTGCTTCCATTTGTAGACGTGGTAGAGAGTTCTTCTGCTTGATGGGGTTAGTAGAGACTCTCACGGAACAGCTGTGCAAATGGCGTCAGTTAGTAGGTTAACGTTTAGGTATATTGTTGTGTTTCTCTTGCTATTATATTGTTCATTTTCCGCAGTCGTTTTGGCAGATTTAAACGTACAAAGAATGTGTTTAAAACTTTTCTTGTTTGAAAAATTGGAAAAAATTGTTGCGGAAGCTTACAAAATGCTGGGCTATTAAGGAGGATACTATAAGCCCAGGGCTGATTGTGCTCCGCAAAAAAATCCGGATTTTTCGCTAACAGTGATTCGGAAGTTTCCGTAGATCGAAGGTCCAAACGTTTCGAAAAATCATTGATCACAGAAGTTTCCGGAAATCAAATTTTCAAAGGTGGAACTAAAAAACACAGTTTATTTTATTTGTTTGTAAGGGAGAGCCAGAGAGATACTTTATAAGCTTATATTCATGATTAATATTCCTTTTTTATCAGTAAATACTTGTTATAATCATAAACTCAAGAAAGAAAGACATATTTGTAAATTTTCATTACTTCTCCTGGTCATCATAGGTATGTGTAAATGGTATAGGTATGTGTGAAATTTTAAATATATTTTAGGTAAACTAAGAAATATTGAGAAAAAGGGAAAAAAAATTTGTTAAAATTTTTTTTTTTCAATTTAAACTGTTTTTTTTTTTTTTTTTTCCTTCAAGAAATTTTTTTGAATTTCGATTTAGGCTCACAATCACCCCTGCATACACACAAATGTTCTGGTGCTTTTGGCATGCAGTGAAATGAGTGTTTGAAGATCATGCTTGTTCTGGGCAAATTCTACAAATGAGGAAAAAATAACTAAAAAATCAAAGAGGATTGTTGTTTCACAATTGACCAGATTTCAGGAGAGACAGGCGTTAGTTGGAGCTTGTGATTTACAAATGAGGCATGTTTCCACTAAACGCTAAATGAACCTTTCAGATGTGAACTGTCATCCTCCACCCTCGGTATTTGCCCTATACTACTTTTTCCTCTTTCCGAGAATGAAAAAGCATAAAAGAATTTTAATTTTGGAGCGTTTTAATTTTGTTAAGGCAATAAAATAGTTTCGCTAAACAGTGGGAAAAAAGACTTGATAAGTGTAATACATCTAAAGGAGAGTACTTTAAAGATGTCTGAAGGAATTAAAAAATTTTATAACTAAAATTATATAGCTAAAAAAAACATTGTAACCAAATTTTTTTTAAAAAATATCTGTGTTTTTTTATTTTTCTTCATTTGATAAGCTTCGTTATTTTCCTCATGAGGCAAGGACATTATTTTAGATAGTACTTTTCAGAATATTTAGTTTATTATTAGATTTCATTTTTTAAAAAAAAAAATTATTTTACAACTAAATGGTTAAAAAGACATTTGTATTAAAAAATTTCAATTTAAATAGTCCAACAAAGGTAACCCTGTATGAAAAATGGGGTAAATTGAGCGTAATATACATACCAAATGTTAAACTCTAAATGTTGGTGTAACTAAGCAGTTCTGTTATCAACTTTCATGTTATTATTTGTGCATCTTTTTAACTGTACTGAATGCTTGTCGCAGTAGAAGGTTCAGGGCACCATTAAATTGCATTGTACTCCCATGCATGTTGTTTATAATAAGCTTTATTAATATTTCTAATGTTAGATAAACTTTTTTTTTTAGAAAAAGAAAATTCCACTTAAAGAAATATTGCGTGAAATGAAAGAAATTGAAGCAAAACAAAGAGATCTTGAAACTCAAGGCCGGCAAATAGAGCTTTTAATTAGAGATAGAGATAAAGGTAAGATGTTCCGTTTTTACATAAGCGTTTGATGAATGAGTCAATAAAGCTTGATCGCACTGTGACTGGTACAAATAAATACTTAAATAATTAACTTTCTAAATTGAATCTCAATAGTCAACATCCTTGGGATATAAGTACAGATAATATATATATATATATACTTCATAACATAGTATAATAATCATAATATGTTATTAAGTATAATGATTTTCAAAATTAAAGTAGCTTGATGGTTTATGTGTTATCGTTGTGTGTTTTAAATCACCACAACATATTTTAAAGTAGAATTTCAAGGTGCATAGTGATAAATTTAAGAGAAAAATCAAAGAAAAACTGTTAATATTATTATTGACTTTGGTGATGACTATGACTTTATTAATGTATCATCTTTTCAAAAAATAATCATTTTGCATAGTGGAGAATTGAGGTTAAGCAACTTTTCTAAATAAAATATATTTCGATATTTAATCTTCACATGGCTACTTTGACCAAGTAGAAAGAAAGCCTTTAGAAGTGGTTCTAAGAAGATTTTATTCAATATTATTAAATTTTGCTATTATTCCCAAATGGTATTACTTTAAAAAACAAACAGGCTATATAGGGTAAACAAACCAGTGAAGGAACACTTACGCTTCACTTGCCTTTTAAAAAATCATATTAATTTCAAAATTCATAATTTTAGTTAAATGACAGTGTCAACATATTTGTTACTAATTGCAAATTATGTAAAAAAATTGTAGAGAACTTACATAATATTGTTTTAAAGTTTTAGAGGTTCAAATAACAAGTAGTAAGAAGACCAAGTGAAGGAACAGCTNAACATATTTTGTAAAGTTGCGTTAAGTCTAATTATTACATAAAACTTGCTGAATATGCATAATATGATTAGCTATGAGTAAATCGCATTCACATTTAAATATAAATACTTAAATTTGCTGCAAAATAATTAAAGTGCATATTTGCATTTCACGCTTTGCATTTTTTTTTTTTTTTGTACTTGGTTTTAAATTGTGAATCATAAAAGCAATTTGATTATTATTACTCTCCAAATTTTTATTGATTTTTTTTCTTATTACTATTTTATTGAAATGAACAATGTAATGAGCATTCTTAATAAATTTTTATTTTGATTATTAATTTTTTACTTCAGATGAGGAACCTTCTGTTGAAGAAGAAGAAAACATTATGCAATTATTTGAATTAGTAAACCAGAAAAATGCTCTTTTCCGTCGTCAAGCTGAACTTATGTATATGTATGTTATTTAAATTTTTATTGTTTGCTGAACTATCATTTTCAGATGTCAGCTCTTTTTACATTTATTTGATTTAAATTTAAAATGTCACTGATTTTTTTTTTCTTTGTAGAAAACGCTCTCAACGTTTAGAAGAGCAGCAAGAAGAATTAGAAAAACAAATACGAGAGTTAATGGCTAAGCCTGAAAGTGGTAGGAAATTTTACTTGATAATTATATATTTTTCTTCTATTTGAATGTTAAATCTAATCACTGCTGTGTTTAATAGATTCTATTAACATTCAATTTTTTTTACTATTATAAAAGTATATTGAATTGTAATACAATTGTTAGTTTCTTATTTTGTTGTGACTAGAAATGAACAAAATTTTAAGACATGGTGAAGATTTAAGACATGATCAAAATATGGAGCTAGTTTGGATCAAACCTTCCTCTTTAAACTTGATATTTTAAAATTTTTACCAATTTTTGAACAATCATGGTTATTTTCTTTGAAACCATGTAGTTTGTCTGTATGCGGGCAAAATTTCTTACTAAAACCTTTTGTATAAAAGAACTAATCATTATTCATGATGTTTAAATATATATACCTCGGGCCGGGCAAGGTTGACTCAGCCTTTCATCCCTTAAGTGGGTCAATAAATGAGTACCAAGCATGCTTGGGAACTAGACACTCCGCTTTCGACTGACCACCTAACCAGAACATCTGCTCCTGCACCCCAGAGCCCAAGGTCATGAAAACTGAGATAGGCACAGCAGGCCTTGACCCTCTATGGGCTGTCGCGCCACCGAGTTTAGTTTTTATATGTATATGTATTAAAGAAAGTTATATATTTTTTAAAAATGAAATACATGCTTGAATCCTATTTTTAAAGTTTTTCTACTGTACGAGAACAAAAAGAAGTGAAATTACAGTTTTTAAAAGGAATATCATGTTAAGTGCATAATTACTTTTAAGACTTACTGTTTGTTATGAAATTAAAAAATGAAAGTCTTAATGACTTTTAATATTTGATGAGTTACTATTCTCTTCAATTTTTATTGCTTAGAAGATTTTTTATCTATGATATTAGAAGATAATTTTTATCTATGTTACTTGTTCCATTGAAACATTTATCTTTGATTGTATAAATTACTAATGCAAAGTGGATTAAAAAGAAAAATTCTGAAGACTTTATTCTATGTTAATTTCCATTTTTTTAATTCAGAAACTATTTAATTTCAGATCAATATTTAACCGAATGGTGTATACATTTTCCTAGTTTGTTAGTTAGTTTAAAATTTATAAATATATCTTATCTTTTGATTTTGTGTGTGCTTGTAATGTTTATTCCTTCCTGTCATAATTGTTCACAAAAATACATATTTTACTTAGGACCAAGAAGACTTACATGACGACAAGGATTTTAGTAGGTTTTTTAAAGATTAAAGAAAATAACTACCAAAAGATTTATTACTTGAAAATAAGTTCTTTGGAATAATCAAATTGCAAAAAATAAAAATATTAACAAAAATCTCTTGAATATCCGCTTTTTTATTGTTACTTATATGAGACTGAACACAATTTTGTTTTTATGAATGCTTACAAACTATGTCGTTTTAAATTAAATCATCCAAATAATATTACTCAGTATATTGCTTGTTTTTTATCAGAGAAAACTGAAGAGGAAAAGGTGAGAGAAGAAGAACTTATTTATGAACTTACTGATATTGTTGACCAAAGGAACTCTATAATTGACAGCATTGAGATGGATAGGAGGAGGTTGGTTGAATTTGTTTTCATTACTTTTAAAATTAAAATCATGGATTTATTTTACACATAGTTAAAGTGTAGTCTCTAGTTTATTTAAAATAAAGTATAAAAGCTAATACAGTCAAACCCCGCTATAGTGAACTCCCAGATATAGTGAACAAAATGCTCGGTCCCGTGCCTTGCTATACACGTATAATGGTATTTTTAGTGGATATAGTGAACCAAAAAAGTGAGGAAGTTGGATATAATGAACTTTTTTCTGTCTTCAACTGATTTCCCTCCCATTTTCTTCGTAATAATTTTGAAATTTGTACTTCAGAATAAATACATATACCGATTTTTAAAACCATCTATAGAAACTACTTTTATGTGCTCGAATGGCTGGTTAGACAGGTTTAAAAAGCAGAATAACAGAAATTCAGGAAAAATTATCTAAGAATCGGGATATCCATATCTGATGTTGAGGATTGCTCATCAGCTAAAGATTACTAATTTTTATTTGTACTCAAGACAAAGAGTGATAAAAAATTACACATTTCTTGCTACTACATAATATTTTTCAGTCATTTATACGAATATAATGTAATAAAAGGGAGGAGTTTGGGAACCATTAGTGAAATTGCCTGCATAACGAATATAGTGAACTCCCGGTTATAGTGAACCAAAATTTCGGTCCCTTGAAGGTTCACTATAGCTGGGTTTGACTGTATAAACAAGGTTAAGATGAAATGAGCAAAAAAAAAGGTCTGTGTGTTCTAGTTGTTGGCAAGTGATAGCAATCAGTATGTGGAATCCCCAGTAATGAATAAATATACAAAATCATCTTGCATGCACTTATTTTGTGCATATGCTTACAAAATTTTCAGCCAGAAGTATTCTTTTGATGATAAATACATTCTGGTAAAGAACTAAAGAGGGAATAAGTTTGATTGTCATTAACATAGTTAGTGGATATTGAATATTTTAGGTATCCATGAAATGGAAGCCTTTTTCTAAAGTAAATAATCAAGCAAGTAAATTGCTTTTATTAATATTCTCTCTTCTAAAATTTTAAATTGTTTTGCAATGAACAATACCTAACAATATTTGTTTATCAATCATATTTTATGATAAAAACAATAAAAGTTTTAAAAAGAGTCAGAAATTCGTTTCTGGAAACTATAACCTCATAGTAAAAGATTTAAATTATGACTCAAATCTTAAATCCTAGTTCTAATTAAAGCCTTGAAATATTTTTTTGATCTTGAAATTTGCAAAATGAATTTTTATTTTTCTTTGCAAGGAGTCACAAGTTTTTCGGTTAAATTTGTAGTAAAGATTCTCAAACATTTAAGATTTCTAAACTATTTAAGATTACAACATTAAACATTTGAGTAACTAAATGTTCAAAAACATTTTCTATAGCCTAAAGATTAAATTATGGGATTGAGTGGTCTATCTCTATAGTTTTAAAGGGCAATAAATCAGCTTTTATCTCTGGTAATTTTGTGTTTTGATACTTTTGTTCAATCTAATTTATTCTTGTTAATTAATATCTGAGATAAAGGTAATGGTAAGTTTCCACTTACCTTTTTCTATGGACCATCGTGTTTTTTTCTGAATATAAATATTATGATGAGGCTTTGGTATTACTGACATCTTATTTAAATCTGAATAAACATTTATTATTGATAATCTACAATGTATTAATGATGATTAATATATAAAATGAAATGATACATGAATTACGTTAATTAAAAACGTGATGAATCAGGGGTCTGTCCAGGCCGAATTTACTACTGTTTAGCGGTACTTTCACAAATTCTATTTTAGGTAAAGCAGTAGTTTCACAAATTCAACTTTAGGAAAAACGGTAGTTTCACAAAATACTTTTTCTTAAAATTTTATTTTTGTATCCCTTACGAAACGATAAATCCATATTTTTGTGTTGATTTTTAAATATAATTTTTCACAAATTATGTCTGAATTTTCACAAAATAAGTACCTCTCAGAAAAACCTAGACAGACCCCTGTGAATGATAATGTGGGGGGTGGAGTTACAGACCATGTCAACCTTCATTTATGAAAAGGTACCCCAACATAGAGTCGAGTTAACATGTCTTATATACTAGTGAAATGTTGTTGTAATTTTGTAGTGGTAGATACGCTACAGTACTCCCCCACCAGAATTATAGCTATGATAGAATTCGATGAATGGATGCCACTAGTTGATTCATTGCTGTTTTGTGCGAAGCCGGGAGAGCTGTATTAAGATCACCGTATTTTTTNATTAAACACATCCATACGACGGCATATCACCCCATTTCTAATGGCTTGATTGAAAATTGGCACCGTACATTGAAAGCCTCATTAAAAGCTCATCTAACTGATCGTTGGACAGAGGTCTTACCCACAGTATTATTGGGAATGCGTTCTGCATTCCGGGAATCCATAAAGGCTACAACAGCTGAACTGGTTTACGGAACTGCCTTGAAGTTGCCGGGAGAATTTCTAATGCCAACACCAAAGGATTTCAATGCCAGTGAATTTGTGCAGCGCCTGAAAGAAAATATGGCAAAATTGTCCCCTTCACCAACCAAGAATCATGACACTAAGAGCCGAACATTCATCTCGACCGACCTCAAATCGTGCAAGCAAGTTTTCATCCGACACAATGCTGTTCAACCGCCACTTAAGCCAGCTTACGATGGACCCTTCGAGGTACTGGAAAGAACAGACAAAGTATATAAAGTTCAAGTCGGCAACAAATCCAAGTTTGTGACTATAGACAGACTAAAGCCAGCCTACATCTTGAACATTCCAGAGTCAGAACCAGAGCCTGTGATCTACCATCCTAGCCCACCTCCGGAAGTTACTGAGCCAACAACAACAAATGTTGAAAAAGCAGAGGACAAGGCTAAGCATACACGATCGGGACGTAAAGTACGTTTCCCTGCACGATTCAAGTAACGTTGCACTAGGAGGGGGGTACTGCAGTATCCTCACTGCTGAGTCAAACTCAAAAACGACAACTGCCCCCTGACGCAGTTGTGAGATTGAGACTGCTACTTCAATTTCTACTTCCGAACTTTGAACGGAAGTGAACAGTAGTTTCTTTTTTGATATAAACAAGTTCGTTCACGAGATGTTGTTCATCTGATATTTTTCTCTCTCTCGATCGTCAGCGAGATATGTTCTTATTTCATGTAACCTTTTATTATTTTATTTTAAAATACATTAAAATGTAATATATTGGATTAACTACTATTTCATTTCTGCTGCATAAAAGACAGGATTGGACTTCGTGATCGGGTCTAAACCTGTAATAATAACATTTTATTGCTGCAAGCCACATCTTGAGTTCCATTCCAACTAACAATTAATTTGAAAATTTTGTGGGGGAAAAGAGTTATTATTTTTTCTCAGCGCCATCTGCTGACAGTTTTTATTAAGAGAGCTTGGAACAACATTGTTATTCATGAATATTTTGTTTTGTTTACAAATTCTTCTAAAAACTCATCTGATAACTTTTTGGTTGTTTAAAATAAAATATAAAAAGTAAATTCTTTGACTTGAAAGAAATGCAAAGTTTTCTTTAATTACTAAAAGCATTCCAGACTATACTTCCTTATACGAAATCTTTGTTTGAAATGTATTGAGGCTTCTCTTGTAATTTATGCAAACATAATTGTCAGAATCTCAACATTATACTATTCTATCACTCCAAACAGTATAAATGCATTTTGATTTTTTTTAAAAAGTTATCACATTAAATTAGGGGTGCAAGAACCTTTTTAAGTGAAGGGCCACTTGCGCAGCAAGTTACATAGTTACCACAGTTACAAAGGCTAGACACATATTTAGCCGTGTTTGTGGCAAATATGATATTTATTTAAACATTAATGATCTAAGCACTAAATATTTTTTATAAAAAAAACTTAGTAATATATTTACAGATAAATAAATTCTTTTAATTATTGCTATTCATTCAAAAAGGAAAAAAACTAATATTTTTTCTAAAATTTTTTTTATCAATAATTAATTCATCTAAAAAAAGTGTATATATATATATTGGGGGGAAATTACGAATTCTAAAAACAACAAAAACTGTAATGCTTACAGAATGAAAGTGTAAAAAAAAAGTTTTTCCATTAAAGAAAATTTATAGTGTTTAAATAAAAACAAAATCAATTTACTGCAAAATAAGATTCAATATTTATTTGGTATTATATTTCAGATATTATGATATTTCTATTTCTTGAATTATTAGAGGTTTTAGGAATTTTTAATTGCAAACTTATTCAGTTTTTTCCTCAAAAAATCACTTGAACTACAAAAAAAATTGAAACAAAATGAATTAGAAACATTGAACAATTTAAAAATTCGTGTTTTCCTTCAGTTTGCGAATTTTTCATGTTGCTGTTACATTGTACTAAAATACCGGGATTCTAATTCCTCGTTCCAATGCATGGCACTAAGTACCGAAAAAATAACTTATAATTACGATGAAATATGCACAAATAAATAGTATCTAAAAGTGATTATTTCAATGCGCAATTCGAAATTCTTGTGTCTTAATATCATTGTAGTTAAAGTAAGTAATATCAAAATCACGTACTAAAACATCAAAATAGCAAAAAATATTTTTAAAAAAGCTAAAATTTACGATGAAATTAGCATGAATAAAGGGTGTCAATAAGTGATGACTCATAAGTATATGGATAAGTGACGACTCAAATGTACTATTAAAATTTTTCGACATTTAAAAGAAGAAAAAAAATTTCATGGTGTTCAGGAGCTCTAGCGGGCCACATATCAGGAGTCGGTGTGTCGCAGGTTTTGCACCCCTATTAATAAAATTTTTTAATTTTTAAGTGAATTTTTCTTATAAGAGTAAAAGCTTGACTATAATGTCTACTAGTGTTGATTGTACGGGAATTGGCAAATACAGCTTTTTATATTGGTATTGAGAGCATGAGGATTAGAAGATTAAAAAAACCTTAATATGTGATATTTTTTGGAATATAAAATTTTTAGAATTTATGTAGTAAATGCTTCGTGTTTGTTTTTATGTTTTCCTTTAAGTATGTGAAATGATTTAAAGTGCTTTAAAACTTATCAAAACTTTGCATATAAAAATTTATGAAAAAAAGTATTTAGTATGTGGATAGCCATTATTATACATTTTTGGATTTTTAATTTTAACAGATTTTTTTCTAATTTTAAATGCCATCTGCTTTCATGCTTAGGGCCAGGGCTTTGGGAGTGAACCTCTAGGACTGCAAAAAATCTGTTTATTACTCTCTTTTAAATTTTAAAAGTGGGAGATTTTGATACATTTTATGTTAGTATTATTTTTATAAGGTTGTAATGTAATTAGTAGAAATTTCTCTACTGAATTTGCAATGGTTTGTGGTGCCCGACATTTAAAATTACAGCTAATGACATTGTGTTTTACTTTCGGACGCTTAGACCCTAGGCACATCCCTGGTAGTTTGTGAACACCAAAAGAATTTAAAAAAATTTTTTTTTGTTTTGTTATCTAAAATTATATAAACATAATAAGATTTATCTGTCTTTTAGGGAAATGGAAGAAGATGTCAGTGTCCAGGAGCAAATTGAAATAAAAAATGGTATGTACACATCTTATTTTTATTCAAGAATGATATGCAGTGCATGGTTAGATGGGAAAAAGCTTTTTACTTTTATTAACACCTTAAACTCACAAGTATCATCTTCAATTTCTAATCCTCATTTTCTATAATTATTATTTTTACTGCTTCCGCATTGTTTTTTCACATGGTAGAAAAAATTAATTTTATAAGGAAATTGAATCTAATAGTTAAATATTGTATATTTAAAAGGATATTGACATTAAAAAATTCAATTTATGAAATATCAAAATTCATTTTTTACTTCAGTAGCAGAGTAAATACATAAAATTTCTACTTTAATTATATTTACATTTTTTTCTACTGTAAGAACATTAATATTTGGGCTCCTATTGCAAAGCTTTAAATGCCTTTCTTAATGTTTCATTTACTGACTTCTGAAGTTGCTATTTCAAGTAAATTATATGATTTTAAGGAACTGAACAAAATATATCCTCAAGAAAATCTACTTTATCAACAAAAAGAATTTCCAATAGTTTTATAGAATACACCCAGGAGGAAATATAAGTGTCTGTTTTGTTTTCTAATAATTTATTTTAAAATTTTTGGTTGAAATACCTAAATATTTATTAACCTTTTTGTTACACACTTCTACTGTTATTATGCATGCTTTCATTTCATTCTTATGTTAGTTTTTACTCTGTTTCTTACTGGTTGTGGCTGCTGGGTTTTGGTGCTTTTTGTATGAGATTGTTTATTACTTTCCTAACAGGTGACTTACCAATTGCAGCTGAACTAAAAGAGAAAAATAAAGGTAAAGATAAGAAGGAAAAAAAAGAAAAGAAAGAGAAAAAGAAGAAAGAAAAGAAGAAAAAAGAAAAAAATTTAGAAAGTGGAGATAGTGGGAAAAATACCCTAAGGAAGAAATTATTTAAATAAAATTTAGATTTTAAATTATTTAGATCAATTGCTAAAATATTAAGAATAAAAAATATTAATAGTTGTGTTTTGAAATATTTAGATAAATTACCAGAACACTAATGATAAGAAAATGTGTGCATAATGGATGCAAAATTAATAGATATTTTAGAATTAAATTAAATTATAGCCTTTCCTCAATCTCGTTTAGAAAAATGGTGCTATTGTCCTCCTTTTGAATAGAGCCTTTTAACTTATAAAACTACTTAGCTTAATATCTTTTTAATGATAGCTTTATTTTTTGTTTTGTTTGTATTCCATTTATAAAGTCATAAGTGCAACTTCTAAACAAGAATTTTTAAATTCATCTTTAACCATATACGAAATTCATTCGTAATCATTTTATAGAGCTTAATGAGGGGAAAAACATGTTAAAACAGTTTCAGATTATCAGTTTTCGAATTTTACTCATTTTAAATTGTACAGAAACACCAGGAACCTTCTTTTTTTATTTATTTATTTAATTATAATAAAGATTTGGCAAAAAAGTTAATCCTGTATGCTTTCATTTGATAATAACATGCTTTTAAAGCTGAAAAATTGAGTGTTTACAAAATGTCTCATAACATGTTTTCCCAGAAAGTTCTTTACTTATTAAAGTTGTTTATTCATTCCAACACTTATTGCTATTTGTTCTTATCATTTGCTTTATATCTTCATTCCGAGCACTTTTAGCATTTCATATTTTTCTCATTAGAGTATTTAAAGCTTGCATTATTTTTATATTAAATATTGTGAATTAATTTTGTATATAGAACTCAATCATGCTAACTAGAAGTAAAAATTATTTAGACTTTTGAAATCGGAGTCAGCAAAAAGTTATGAATGGTTACTTAATTTCTCAATTATTGTCACAATTTTAATATTATTGTCACAATTTTAATAAGTGCACAAATTATTATATATTTTTTTTATAAATTGCTTTGATAAATTGATTGTATTTTAATTATTTCAAAATTATGTAATATAATTACTTTTATCATTTTTGTTACATTGTTGTGAAAAATACTAGTCAGTGTTTATGTTTTTGTTACATATATATTTTTATAAGAAAAGTATGGATAAATTTGTTTAAAATCTCATAAAAAATTTTCAGGCCTCCATTACTGATAAAAACAATGGAAGATTCTAATTATGAGTAAATTTAACTGACCCTGTAAAAATAAAATGTTTCCACATTTTAGTGTCAAATTAGGAAGCCATATTTTTTGAGAAATGTTCTTTTTTTCAGCTTATACTTTGTGCTGCTATATATAGTTTTTAAGGGAAAAACTGAAAAAGCTAAAGCAAATTTTCATTTATGTTGATTGTGAATTATTTTTATAATGCTATTTGTAGATGTGAAATAAAAGTGAGATATTTTATTGTGATTGTTTCTCTTCCATACAATACAGTGTTTGCGATTTTAAATTTTACGGCTATAGTATTAAAACTATGATAAGGAAATTTTATAATTTATAGAGGAATTACATTTGCCAATGTCAAAATTTTTTTAAGAGGAACAAAGTCTTGTTAAAGCCAAGTGTAAATCCTAAACACAAGTATCAGGTGATTGCAAAAGTTATACATATTATTATTCTATGCCTCTGAAAGTTCTACTGAATTTTGAATTATTTTTTGTAAAAAATTACAGAGTTAATTGCCAAAAAATGTTTTCATGACAAGGTGACCACAGAACTGAGAAAATTCAGGGAACTTTATCAATTTTAAAATGTAATTAAATAGCCAAAAAATCAAGAAAAATGAATTTTAGTTTAAAATTTCTGAGACTCTTGATATTTTTTCCAAAAAAAAAAATGGTCTTTTACTAACATTTTTCTATAAGAATGTTTGTTTTCAACTTGTATGGCAAGTATAAGCGTTTTAAAATATATTTTATACATTGAAATATAGTAAAACTGAAAATTTATTAATAAAATCTATACCATTTGAATCGTTAATTTTTTTTTCTGAGTGTTTGTGAACAACTTAAAAGATTTTGATTTTATAAAAAAAATTATTTTGCCAAAAACTGAATACATAAATTTCTGGATGAAAAAGACCAGGTAAATAAAGGAAATTTCTTTTTGTGATGTTGTCAATGCAAAAATATACTATTTCTTCTAACATCCAAAAAACTAAATTACTATCCTATCTAATCTTTTTCTCAGTAAATAAAAATCATTAATATAATCCGTTTTTTTTTTATACCATAACCTTGACTTCAGAATAAAATCTATTTTTAGAGATTCTCTCTACTCTCTGCCTGACACATTTGTATAGAATTTGAAAAGCATTATATGGTTGCTAAATGTTTTGAGTTCATTAAAATAACTTGTAATAATCTCTCACACTATCTTCTCTGCCAACATATTTGAATGTGTATTGAGAAGAGGAGCCTTGGCAGTCAATTAATAGCCAATACATGAATTCCTTCACTTTCCTTGATGAAAACTATTCAAATGTATTCTTCAGTTACATAATTGATTTTTTGATGGATGGAGATGTCATGTAGGGCTGGGCTTTGCAGCGACACCCTCTAGGGCAGGGATGGCGAACCAAAGGCACAATATTTTGGGAACTCCACCGATCACAATTGTTGTTACACTATGAATTGTTATTACACAAATGTTATGCTATGAAGCATGAGTAACAAATCAAAATTCACAAAAAACAAACAAAACAATTATTAATAAAAAATACTAAAAAAAAAAAAAAAAACAATTAATAACCGTAAAAAACAAGCTAACAATAAATAACTAGCAAAAAAATCAACAGTCCTGCTTAAACTAACATCTTACAACCTAATATAAGTTTTTGGTCATCTAATCTGCAACAACAGAAGTCACACTGATGTTACTCTAAGTTGAATTACGTGTATAACTGAGACATTGCAAAATGTATTTTTTTTCCAATGTAAATAAAGAGTTTTGAGTTGATAGTATATTTAGTAATATTATTTATAGACGGCATATATATAGTATAGACGGCACGTCTATGACCTCATTAAGCAATTTTTTTTTAGAGAAAATAGCACGTTGGTGTATAAAGGTTCGCCACCCCTGCTCTAGGGCATTTTCAAAGTTTATTGTGTAGTAAAATATACATATATTAAAAATGAAGATTAAAATATTTTTATTATTTTTTATATTTGTTTCTTCATTAAAGCAGTTTATAATAGTTAATATATAATTGCTTGCCTATATCATTTTAGAATAAGATATGAACAATTGAAAATGCATCATCAACTAAGAAATAAAAATGGTGCTTAGAGTAAAATTTTATTTATAATATAAAACATGAATCATAAACAAATCAACATATAATTAACTACAATACAAATAAAAATATTATTTTCACCCTTGAATGTGCTGTGCATACCTAATGAAAAGGAAGAAAATATATTTTATTAATGAAAGAAATTAAACTAAAACAAAATTACTTTCATATTTTAAATTATATAATCATTGAATATTTTTACATTTAACTACCTGAATTCAAATCTTATTAAGACAATTTAGAGTTAAAATTAAGATTTGAGCATTGTTAGTTACATTAAAGACTAACGATAAATACTATTAAATTTTACCAGAGAAAATATCATGGTACTGAAAATTAAAAATTGTATCCCAGTTTCAATAAATTTTAGAATTATCCTTTTGAGAAACATTTCAATTCAATGTAAATCATTAATATATGTGAAAGATTACACTTATCAGCACGCAAATTATTTACGTAAAAAATCTTATAAATTTTTGATTGCAGTACGACTTAGCTGACAAGTGTCATCTAACTTCCTTAAGGGCGCCTTTAGTAAAAATGTAATAGCGTACTTAATCTGGTTTTTCAAAAATACATATGTTGATATAGAATCAGGGGTGATTGTGAGCCCAAGTCAAAATTCCGCAAAATTTCTTGAGTTAAAAAAAAAAAAAAAGTTAAACAAAGTTTTTTCCTTTTTCTCAATATTTCTTAATTTACTTAAAATATATTTAAAATTTTACACATACCTATACCATTTGCACATACTTATGATGACCTGGAGAAGTAATTTAAATTTACAAATATGTCTTTCTTGAGTTTATGATTATAACAATTATTTACTGATAAAAAATGAATATAAGCTTATAAAGTATCTCTCTGGCTCTCCCTTACAAACAAATAAAATAAACTGTGTTTTTAAGTTCCACCTTTGAAAATTAGATTTCCGGAAACTTTTGTGATCAATGATTTTTTGAAACATCTGAACCTTCGATCTCCGGAAACTTCCGGATCACGGATAGCGAAAAATCCGGATTTTTTTCCTAAGCACAATCAGCCCTGTAGAAGGTGATCATAATATTTGAGTCACATAGAAAAAAGAAGTAATTATAGGTTTGTAACTATTGGTGAGATTCAGCGACATTTGGGCAGTTGAAAACTGGGAATGTTGGAGTTTTTTTAGAACGCACATTTTTATTGAAATTGATTTTTAGTGGATTTTTTTACCCTAATGTATCAATGTCTCACATCATTAATTTAACACAATTGTGCCTAGGGCTCTTTTAAAAGGATGTTTCCTCTTTTTCCACACAGTTGTTTCAGTGTTAGAATTTATTTTGTAGAAACAAAGCACTTTTTTTAAACACTATTCTTGGTAAATTATTATTTTACTACTTCAGGTCATTTAAAAACTACATAATCATTACAATGACGCTCTTAAGCTTTCTTGGATAAGAACCTAAAAAATTTATTTTTCTGTTCATTTGCACTCAAAGCTCATTTATAGGAAGTTACATTAATCCAATCTCTTCTCTTGAATGTTGTAAATTTTTTTTATTAAATAATAAAGTAATTTTTTTTTAATTTAAAGAACAAGGGGTTAAAAAAAAAGAGTGATAATTTTTTAATCAAAATGAGAAATAGAGTTGAAAGTAACCACACTATTAAGTGAATAAACTGCAAACTTGAAACCTGATAAAACAATACTTTGTATACATACAGCAATTTTTTTCATTCTACTATTTGTAAATACTACAGATGGAAAATTTATGTCCTTTTCCTTTAGCTGAGTGCAAAGAAATTAAACTATTTATCTTATGGTGACAGCCAATTTTTTTTTAAATAGAGAAAATAATGGTAAGAATATCAGTTGCACCCAGTTAATGGAAAAGTACCAAAATTTTCGTTATATATTCAAACATTCGGCCATATTCTTTTGTCAAGCAATTAAATTGATTACCAAAAATATGATAAATTTCAGCACAGTTTTAGTTAAAACTTTTTATTAAACATATATTCAAAACTTCATACTTTTGCTTTATCATTGAGTGGAAAAATAAACTCAAAATGCCAACTTACGTTAAGTATTAAATTATGTTAGAATCTTCTTTTTAGGCAGCTTTTCTTTTTCTATCTTAGACAGAATAGAATCCCACAAAATAAACTGTTTTGACAGAGATAAAACCTAACTGAGTTAAGAACAAAGCAATTAAATATTGGTTTATATCAGTTAAGGTAAAAAAAAATTTTATTGATACACATAAAGCCAAAGATTAGTATGATATTAACAATCAGTGTAAGTTCCTACAGCTAATATAAATCCATAAGCGCAATTTTAAGTGAAAATATGAAGATCAACTAGAATACCTACATATAAACACAGTTTAGGGAATTGCGACCTACAGATAGAGTGTTGTTTCCAATGCCACTTGCCAATACCAGCAAGCCTCCTTGGTCAAACCAAGCAATTTTAAGGCAGAGAGTGTGTTTCTTGTTTTTCAGTGGTGCCATCGATGGCCAAGAATGCCACTTCAGCCATTGGTACATTGACCCATTCATACATCCACTGATCGTAATTTTAACCTGAATCGGAAAATGATCAGTCTCTAATTCAGTACCCCCAAAGGTATATGTTACTGGAACATGGAAGACTCTGTGACTCGACAGATTTAACATGCACCAAACACCATTTATTGCATATTCTAACAGTCTGAACCCTATTTAATTTTTCGGTTGCAGCGTCATCTCTGAAGTAAAATGCATAAACTTACATAATAAAATAGATAAGTTAAAAAAGATTTTTTATAAATTTTTTTCTTTCTTTTTTTGAAAAAAATACTGAAACATTTTTAGTTTTATTTCTTTTTATTTTCTATCTGATGGGTCTCAAGTTACTGCAATTTTAAACAGTATGTACTTGGTTACAGCATCATCTTTGAAGCAAAATGCATAAACCTACATGTCAAACAGGGTCACTTTTTTCAGGAAAATCCGAATCTGCAATAAAAAATAGGTGTTTAGATATCAAAATTGCCCTCCAGAGGGGGATGAGATGAAAGATCAAGTTCAGCATTGGATAGCTTTTAAAAAATATTAAACATGTCTAGCTTCACTTTTTGGTCCTACATAT